ATGAAGCATACTACCGGTACCGGTATTCGCAGGCTGCGAATCGCAGCGGGAGTATCCGATCCGAAGCCATGTGTGCAGTGTAATTCTCTTTCTTCTGCAATTCTCAAATCCCAGATGGCATCGACTCGAATTTCGAGTCTCGAAAATTAAGGTACATTGTACAGACTTCCCCCAGAAACTGAAAAGGGTGGACCTTCAAAGTTCCCCCAGGTTATAAATTATGTACCGAATATGTTATATCGCAATGCAAATGTCTCACATTAATTTGTCAAATTAAAACGTCGCTCATTCTCACTTGGTATCGACGCGTGGGGGGAGGGCTGTTCTCCTTCTCCTCTGAAAATACTATCCCGCTCTTCATAAAGCAGTGGCGAATTGTCTCTGGAGTGGTATCGTTCCATGCTTCGTCAACCCACTTCATTCCTTGCAATTGATCAACGTAGTAGATACCCTTTCCCTCCGGAGCCTTGTGTGGCATCGACTTGTCAGCCCTATCGCACGCCAAACTCATGATCCACTCCGTGTACAAAGTCCGCGTCATCCACGCTTTAGTATTATTCCGGTAGTAGAAGCCGAGTTCATCTCCATACTTTCCCTTGTAGCAGTGAGGGCGTAGAGCTGTTCCGATGTAGAAAACTGGACGCTTCTTTAGACCAGGAGTGCTCTTCATGCATATGCCCTTCGTCTTTGCCGAGCGCTACAGGAGCCCAGTTTTTAGTCCATGTTCCAGATGTCTCGCAACGCGTGATGACGAGTAATATCTTGCATCGCCATCATCCCTTCGCGAATAATGTCAGCGTCCACAGATCGGGTGCGAAAGCTCGAACGCATGTAGCGCCCAGCGCGCCAATTCGGACAGTGTCAGGGAGGGACAGCGACAATGTTTCTCAATAACCTTGCACTTCTGGTTGATAGTTAGCCCGAGACTTTTTGTGCCTTTCGTCATGTTCTGCTCTGCTCGAAGACGTGCAATGATGCAATTGGCGGGAGGTTCGAAATTCAAACAGTTAGTGTGAACCACATTTGCGTGAGACAGACATCACCTCCTGATTAAGCTAAGCCTGATTCAGCCGATTTTGAAAGATTATAAGCAGGAAGTAGTTTTCAGTTTCTGGGCGGAGTCTGTACAACTATTATTACGGTAATAGGTTTGTCCGCTGCGGACTCCGCAGGCCAAAATCGTGCCCATTTTACCGAAAAGAGGGAACCCTGAGAATTTGATAAGGAAGTGTTTATCATTCTGTTTTTTTACATGTATTTGTCCTGACAAGAATACACCATTGCACGGCGTTATTCACAACATTAACAGTCAAATTCAAAAAGTGCGCGCTCGAATTCAAAAGTCAGATATATATTACCCGTAAGAGCAACGCCAACGGTGGTTTTAAAATATATTCTATTTGTAGAACAGGCTCCTCCTATGGTTGGTATTTAGAAACCATTGAAACCATGAATCTGCAACGGTGATCCTATATTTTCTCCTATATCTTAAGAGTTAAAGTGCTTCCGTCGAGATGGATGCTGCTTAGCAGGAACGCGCGAAGTGGGTGTTAGACCTCTTAGATGAAGATGAAGACGAATGCGCAGTGTTTCACACCTGCTTGCAGAGTAAACTCCCCTCAATTAACAGGCCGAAGCATGGTGGTTCTCGCCCAGGCCGTGCAGCAAGCAAACGATGAGACCCTCACGAACGCGCAACATGTTGAAAGGAACAATACTTTACAGATGACCCCGTTTACAATGATGAAGATTTCCGTCGTCGCTTTCGCATGCGCAAATTGCTATTTACTCGGATCCACAATGCTGTCGTCGGCCACGACGATTTCTTTGTTGCGAAACTGGAAAATTGGGAATTCCAGGTTTACTTAAAATACAGCGGCGTTGCGTGAACTTGCATACGCGTACTCGGCCGATTCTGTCGACGAAAATCTGGAAATGTCTCAACCGAGCATTTTGGAGTCCTTAAAACGGTTTGGTGAAGCAATAATTCATCTGTTTGGAGCAAAATATTTGCGTTCACCAACCGATAGTGACGTACAGCGACTGCTAAATGATAATGCGAAGCGGGGATTCGCTGGTATGCTTGGATCCGTTGATTGCATGCACATCGAATGGAAAAACTGCCCAGCGTCTCTTGCTGGGCAGTATAAAGGAAAAGAAAAAAACAATGGTTGCGCTTGCAGCTTAAGCTGATTCGCAGTTGTGGATTTGGCATTGCCATTTCGGAAGCCCTGGTTCATTGAATGGCATCAACATTTTAGACCAGTCGCCAATTTTCGACTTCTTCAAGGAGAAGCTCCTCCCGTCGAGTATGTTCTCAGCCGTACGATGTCACTCGTTTAAATGCGAATATTAGGTCTTATTTAACGAATTTGCTCACAGGTAGAAGATATTATATGGCCTACTTCCTGGCCGATGGTGTCTACCAGACTGGTTGGTATTCGTTAAAACCATCAGTCACCCTGTCAATATGAAACAAAAATATTTTGTAAAGTGTCAAGAGGGTTACCGTAAGGACAGCGAACGCTGCTTTAGAGTCTTGCAAGCGCGTTGGAAGATTCTAGCAGTGTCTTTTCGACTTTGGTCTGCCGAAGCAATGATAACAGTGGTGAAAACCTGCGCTAAACTTCACAGTATGATAATTGAAGATGAGGCCGACATCGACGACAGTTTTGCATACCTGTTCGATCCTGCGAATCAGCTTGACAACTACCCTCCCATTGCAGTACACAGGGTCGATGCTAGCCTGCGTGCCAATCTTGTGGCAACTACGCATAGCATGCAGAAACGGCCAAACACTTTCAACTCCAGAGGGACCTGGTAAACGACCTATGGCAACGTCATGGAACAGAATATCAGAAAAGAGCTGTGCGAATTTTATTATTTGAAAGACCTATGAAGTATATAACCTTTGCGATAAAGAGAATTCATAAAGATTTTATTATTTTTAAAGGCAAATGCTAAACAAGCGCTTGGGTCGGTAATACCAGGAGGCTCTAGCTCGTTTTGTGTATGCCCCGCAGCGGTTAAAGCCGGCTTATCCGCTGAAGATAGCTCATTTGTGGTATCGTGCTCATGGGTAGTATCTTCGCGTATACGCTTGAGAACTTGTTGTCTTTTTAAATTCAGGTACTCACGCGTTGTAGCATCCTCTGGATCGGCTTGAATTAACAACAGAGACAATTCGACGTGTTCTTTCGCAACTAAAAAAAAACTTTGACTCACTCTTTTGACAGCTTAGTCATCTTCTTCTGCAGCTGCGAC